TTAAATGTAAAACATAACATCCACATACGGTGTTATGTAATTTGAAAGCGCATATAAGATTGTATTAGAATCAAGACATTCCCATTCCTAAATATAATCCAACACATTCGACAATTTACAATTAATTGGATCTATATAAGATTGTGTTGGGATCAAGACATTCCCATTCTTAAATATAATCCAACACATTCGACAATTTACTATTATTTGGATCTATAACACAATCTTATATAGATCCAATTACTTGTAAATTGTCGAATGTGTTGGATTATATTTAGGATTGGGAATGTCTTGATCCTAACACAATCTTATCTTGTAAATTGTCGAATGTGTTGAATTATATTTAGGAATGGGAATGTCTTGATCCTAACACAATCTTATATAGATCCAATTACTTGTAAATTGTCAAATGTGTTGGATTATATTTAGGATTGGGAATGTCTTGATCCCAACACAATCTTATGTAGATCCAATTACTTGTAAATTGTCGAATGTGTTGGATTATATTTAAGAATGGGAATGTCTTGATCCTTAATTTGATCTATATGAAACTGTGTTATAATCAAGACATTCCCAACTAGAACGTTATATGTATCGTAACTTATTTTTAAGGATATCATTTTGTGTGTGGCAAGTATAATGATAGGTGTTTGAGCCAGCTTTGTATTAATATTAGAAAAGAGAGGAACATGGTTATATGACACGCATTATCTGGTAGGAGTTTACAGTCCGGAAATGGTGTTTTTTCATGAGCTATAGATATGAGCGTTAATGTGCTCTAGCTGTGACCCAATATACTGGTAGTATTCCACAGTGTTCAGCAGCCTTATCATTCTCTTTTCAAACAGAAACTGACAACAGCTGATTTATGGAGAGTGACGAATACACATACTCAAGTATCATTTTTCAGAAAATTGCTGTGACAATCACACAATAGTAATATAAATCTTATTCCATTTGAATTTTCCTTGTTTTTACTCCAAACTACATATAAGGTTCCAAGACACACACGTTCACGCACACACACACACGCGTATATCGTTTAAATATTCCTTCATGAATTAGAAACAGTGTTGTAGTCCTGCGGGGTCGCAAGGGAACGCCGACCTCTCATTTCATGTACAGGGGAAGTGCTGCTCCCACAGTTTAAATGCAGAATATTTCCCGTACTGATTTCTTATACGTTCGAATGCGAATATGAATAGGACTTTAATCGTGTCTTTAATATGGAACACTTTGTATAAAATGAAGTTTTTATAATTGACTGAAAGCTTTACTGACATTGCATATGCTGCTGCTTTACAAATTAGTACACAAATGAAGATACTCATGGAATATTTGACATCTATATCATTGATCAAAATGGCGTACCAAACGCCATAAGAATTTTACAGGGGTGGACGAAAAACTGTTTATATTTTACACTGAAATGGATCAACACCACAAAGCTAAGTGGTTAAGTATCAACAGAAGAAAGCAGCGAATTCAGTCCATGGACCATATAGTAAAGATATTCTTAGATCACATTTATTTAAAAATTATGATCTATATGAAACAAATATCACATGAACAGAATATTGAAAAATCATACATAACTTTTTAGGAAATGTTACACCTATATTTTTTTTAGTATTAATTCACATTGGAAATACTAGAAGATTAAAAAAGAGCAGCTATATATAGAAAAATGGCAACCCAAAGTTATGAATTACTAGCTCATTCCATTTTTAAAAAAGATGACTAAAAAACCTAAATTTTCCAGCATGTTTTATTGATTGAATTTCAAGCCTAACATTTGCGTCAGAAAGTTTGTAAAGTTGATCAGGTGTGTTGCTATTTCTCTGTGCATGAGATTCCACGTGTATGGCTACTATGTATGGGCTTTGAAAGTGTCTAGAACATTCCTTAGGCACCTGAAACGTTTTATGGTTTGAATATAAGGTCTGAATTTCTCTCTCCCCAACGACCATATTGTTTACCTTGAGATTCAATGGTCGTTCTTAAACGTGTATCTTCAATGAGGGTAGTTTTGATTACCTGGATATGTAATTAAGTTCGGCTGATAAATGTATGTAGGTCTCTACTTGGGGAAGAAAGTTTGAGGTATCTATATAAATATCATAGTACTGTCTGTTGTATGTCTATGTAACTATTTCGCAGGGCGTGGATGTATCTTCACCAACATTGATGTAGATGTTAATTAAGTCCTTGCGGGGGGGGGGCATAAAAAGTTTCAGTTTTGCATTTTGCGTTTTTTACCACTACTTCGCCCCATGTTGACAGATCTTCACCACATTTGGCATGAAGGTTTGTTGGGTAAATGCGGAGATACACGCAAACTTGCTGTTTCACGTTTTGTGTTTTGCAGTTTTTATGGGCGTTTATTACAATTACGCATAAGGGAAGCAACTTTTCATATCTTAAGATAACTCCCATCCAGGGGAAGGATACTCCAGCTAGTTGTAAAATATGCTTAGGGATATGTAAATAATGAACTTTATCGCTGAATACTGTTTTACCAATATGTCGTCTAACGGTTATAACGGATATATATATATATATATATATATAACATATATGTATGTATGCATATAAATAGATAGACATTTATGTGTATATATATATATATATGTTTGTTTGATGTATACATATACATGTCTATGTATATTTGTATGTGTGTATAACCAATTGGTTAAATGCTGTTGACCTAACTTGCTAATAGCGAGAACAAGTACACTCGTACACACTACTGTTGATTGGTGTTAGTGCTTGCCACCAAAGAGTCTATGTTGAATTACATGTGAAAGTTATATAGCATGTAGGCGTGTTTATTCTGTTGAATTACACGTGAAAGTAATATAGCTTGCTGGCGTGTTTATTATGTTGAATTACATGAGAAAGTTATATAGTTTGTAGGCGTATTTATTATGTTGAATTACACGTGAAAGTTATATAGCATGTAGGCGTGTTTGTTATGTTGAATTACATGTGGAAGTTATATAGCTTGTAGGCGTGTTTATTGTGTCGAATTACACGTGAAAGTTATATAGCTTGTAGGCGTGTTTATTGTGTTGAATTACACGTGAAAGTTATATAGCTTGTAGGCGTGTTTATTGTGTTGAATTACACGTGAAAGTTACATAGATTGTAGGCGTGTTTATTTGTGTGTGTGGGTCTTGATCTAAGATAAGCTTTCTTCAGACAAGCGGATTTTCCTTCTCACCACTTTTGTCGGGTTCTCATCAGGGACTAGGTGCTAATGCTGTCGAAATATGGGTCCGTAGTTCCTGGGAAAACACATATTTTGATGCTTGGACTTTGCAGGAAGACGTTCTCAGTTGATCCCTTCTTTACAGTGGTTCAGGAATTGGGATAGGAAGCGGGAGCGGTAATGAGCGCCCTCAAGTAAAGGAATTCCTATGGGGACTAAAACAAATAATGAAACATCCAGTTAGAAATTATAAGTTTCCATTCCTCAAAATTTTCAAAAAACAACAACAAAAAACTTAAATATTACATAGTGTCACAAATTACTCAGTAACAATCCTCTTTATGTGTAGCTGATATCTAATAATTTCAGGTTCGTTGAAATTAAGTTCCTACGCCATGCTTACTTCTCCATACAGCATATAAGGACATTTGTTATTATTATTTGGGCTATTACATAATGCATATTATTTTTAGACATTTTAATCTTTTATTCCCAGTTACATCACCAGAAACACATTCTATTCTTTTCAAAACAGGGCGATATAGTTTAAAAAATTCCTACTATGGTTAGTTTACATGTTAAATAGGATATCTTGGATATGATTATTTGATTTTGAGGCCAGCCTACTTTCCTTTTTCTTAATGGTGCAGTTTTTGTGAAACAGATAAAAACATTCAATTTTCTGCTTATACTTGTTATCTATACGGGCTAGAATTGAGATTTCTGATGAGATAAAATGTGATCAAACTAACAAGTGTAAAGTAGTATACAAGATGAGATTCCGCATAAATGTTATAATCGTGGTCATGGGTATCCTTCATTAATTAAATATGTAGATTATAAAAATACGTAAAACTAAAAACGGGGTGACACAAAAACACCAATAAAACGTGAAAAATATTTGATAAAGGAGACATTATAGACAGATAGATTCAAGAAAATAGCTTGTGCACTAAACAAAAAAAAAAAATAACTAAACGAAAGACGTCTCGTTAAGGTTAAGGAAATAATTAAGTAAGTTACTTAGGTGCAGTTCAGTGCATTTTTCTTTTTTTATTTTTT